ACGAAGCCAAGGAAGGAAGGATGAAACAATACAAAGAAGCGGCTAAGGAGTTGCTCCAGGTGTTTGAGGCACATTCTCTCACCCAAATATCGAGGGCTCAAAACTCCGAGGCCGACATTCTATCCAAACTTTCGGATGAATCCCCCGAACACCTCTCAAAAATTGCAAGAATTGAGGAACTTAGCCTCTCAAGCATCCACGCGAGCCCCGTCATGAGCGTTAACCTGAGGCCGGAGGATTGGATCTCCGACATCATCGCCTTCATCAACACAGGACAACTGCCCCAAGATGAGGCCCGCGCAAAATTAACAAAGCTGAGGGCTCCCAGCTACACCATCGAAAACGGGAGGCTTTACAAGAGATCCTACAACGGCACCCTCCTTCGGTGCCTTCATCAGGATGAAGCCGAAGTCGCCATGGAAGAAGTGCACAGTGGCACTTGCTCAGCTCACCAGGGACCCTTCTCCATGTCCCGAAGGCTCATTGTTCAAGGTTACTTCTGGCCCACAATGGCTAGAGATTGTGCAGATCTAGCCCGGAGGTGCACCGCTTGCCAACATTTTCAAAAGGCCCCCGGCAGACCAGCGGTCAACTATGCTCCCATCAGCACCGCTATACCCTTCTCCAGATGGGGGATTGACTTAGTAGGCCCTCTGCCGAGGGGTACCTCCAACAATAGGTATATCATTGTGGCCATCGACTACTTCACCAAATGGGTGGAGGCGGAGCCCCTCGCCAGCATCACTGAGGCCCGGTGCCGCCACTTCGTTCTCAAAAATATTCTCACAAGGTTTGGCGTCCCCCAACAAATTATCTCCGACAACGGGACCCAGTTCGAGGCAGCCCCCTTCTGTGCCCTCCTTGAGGCTTGGGGCATCAAGCACACATTCTCTTCCGTCGCCTACCCTCAGGGCAACGGGCAAGTGGAGAACGCCAACCGAACCCTACTTGAAGGATTGAAGAAAAAGCTGGAAGCCGAAGGGGGAGGCTGGGTAGAAGAGCTTCATAACATCTTATGGGCCTACCGCACCACCCCTCGGCGTGCAACAGGCGAGACCCCTTTCTCCCTATGCTATGGATTTGAGGCTAAGGCCCCAACAGAAGTGACCCTTCCGACCCGAAGGGTGGAACAATATGAGCCCGAGGTCAACGACGCCAACATGGCCCTCGATCTTCATCTCATCTCGGAACGCCGAGAGCAAGCTTTCCTCAGGGCCGAAAACTATAGGAGACAAGTCAAAGGATACATCGACGCCAAGGTCCGCTCCCGGGTGTTCCAGGTGGGAGACTACGTCCTCCGGCGAAGGGAGGCCAGTCTACCCACCGAAGGAGGAAAGATGGCACCCAAGTTTGAAGGCCCCTACATCATCTCAGCCATCATCAAACCGGGGACATACAAGTTAAAACGTCCTAATGGGACGGAGGTCCCTAGACATTGGAATGTGCACCACCTTGTCAAATTCTATCAGTAAGGCATGAGCGGCCAAGCCCTCACCCTGAGCAAGTGTAAGTATCAATGGCCCAAGGCCCCATCTGTTTTTGAAGAATAATCAGAAGGCCAAGCCTTCATCACCTGCATATTGTACAAGCGGCCCAAGGCCCCCTTCTCTCCTACACATGAGTGGCCAAGCCCTCATTTCTCCACAAAAATAGGCCCAAGGCCTCTCCCTCTGATGAGGGGGGGAACAACAATTTAGGTACCAAGTACCAAGTGTATAGGCCACCCCCATCACTCTCTGAAAGCACCAAGTGTTTTCAAAAGCTTTTACATATTCTCTCTCCTCCAAAAAAAAAAAAAACGGGGGGTGTAACACCCCTCGGCTCCGGCTGGTACCAAGTGCCCCCGGCTATTTGTGTTCCACACACAAATAAAACCCTTCCCAGGAACGCTTTCCGCGCCATCCCCCAAGGGGAGGCAGGCAACGGACCATGTCCCGGGCCCAGGATTCGACTTCCACAAACGAAACGCTCCCCGCGTTATCCCCCAAGGGGAAGCAGGCAACAGACCATGTCTCGGGCTGAGGGGACGACTTTCAAAACCGAGGCGCTTTCCGTGTTATCTCCCAAGGGGAAGCAGGCAACAGACGATGTCTCGGGCCGAGGAAACGACCCTCAAACCCTTCGGGATATCGGAAGGTCATTCCCGAAGGGGGAGCCAACGGTTTGTTCCGTTGCCTCCCATATAGGCCAAGCCTTTCCTAGAAACCAAGTTTCTAGATGCCTCTCCTACACCATCTAAAAAAAAAAAAAAAAGGATGTGTAGGGGGGAAGGAACTCCCCGGATACTATTCTCCCCGGAGGCTCAACACTTCGGATATATATTACCGGAGGCTTCTACAAAGGCACGAGAAAATCTCTCAACAACAAATCATCCGGCTACATAGCCGAAGGCTTCACTGCATGAAACCTTGGAGTACAAGATTTCCACCGGAGGCCCAAGAAGAAGGCTCACTAAGCAAAACTTCACCTAGATTTGGCTAAGGCCGAAATTCGGTCGGATCAAAGTCAACTATGTGACATGCCGAAGGCTCCACAGAGTTCTAAGGCAAGCTAAACCTATATCTACACAAACCGGAGGCTTCATACCGAAGGCAGAATGTCACCCGACTCATTCAACAATGAAAAATTTCTAAGTCCACACATTGGCATCCTTCGGGAAACCAGGCAAAAGAAAGATGCTCACAATATTTACACTCTGGGTTTCACCAAGCCCACGAGCTTGGGTCCCCTCGGCTAGACTGTACACACCGGAGGATCGATCAATCCTCACACTCGAAGGATTCACTACAGCTTCTATTGTTGGCTAACCCCTCGGGGAACCCAACAACACATCATGACTCCTTCCGCCCGAACTTGCCTTCGGCCTAAAGGAGTGGGGGACTGGGGTATACCCCTCGGGAATCATACACAAGTTTTCCACGAGCCACTTGCGGAAATGAAGCAGCCCTCATCACAACACATACGGATATTATTTACGCCTCCCTCAGAAAACCCCCGACATGTAAGGGACTGAGGAGAGGCTCCGGCATTCATACAAGTGTTATACTTCCTTCAGAAAACCCTCGGCATGTGAGGGACTGAGGGAAGCCTTCGGCAATCAGCAGAAAGCAAGTTCTCAAGCAAAGGCGCCCAACTAAATGATGGAGCCTCCAGAAGAATCAACACATCTACTCCTTTTCCCTCAAGTACCTTTCGGCAAAAGGAGTGAGGGACTCCTGATGGAGTATATGGCCCGGGGACCCCCGGCCCAAAGACTCCTACTCCTCCTACACAAGTCCATTGAGCCCAGAGAACAACTCGGGCCCAAATGCAACGGCCCAAGCCTCAAAGTAGCCCAGAATACACACTGGGGTGCCTTCGGCCTCCTTGGCCGAAGGCTACAAAACTCACAGGATAGCCTTTTGGGCATAAGAAGCTGCTGGGAGAAAACGGGCGAAAACATGAGCCTTCGGCATTCTCACGCCCTCGGCATCAGAAAAGCCTTCGGTCACATGGGGCCCTCGGCTACACAAGGGGCCCTCGGCTACACAAGGAGCCCTCGGCTACACAAGGAGCGCTCGGCTACACAAGGAGCCTTCGGCTGAACTAGCTCAATCATCGAAGATTCCTTTTAGAGACAGCCAACCACCGCATTTAATGCCACGTCACATCCGCCAACCGCAATCAATGCGGTGGACGTACCACTGTCGGTGCCAACCGGCTGATGTGACCCTTCGGCCGTTGGATTACTGACACGTGTCCTCTCATCGCATTTATTGCTGCTATAAATAGCAGCCCATTTCTCCTTGTAAAACGAAATCGACATCTCAACTCCACATCTCGAGTTCATTTAATAAAATCGACTCTCTCTCCTCCTATTTTGCTCTGACTTCTCTCTAGTTATTTCCGCAATAACCCCTCGGATAAGATACCCCCCGGGTAGACTATCCATCACCTTGGAAGGGGGGAAATTTGCCAAAAATTATGAAGGCCCTTACGTGATTAAATCAGTGATCCGGCCAGGGACGTTCAAACTCCAGACGCCGAAGGGAAAAGAAATTGAGAGGACTTGGAACGCAGAACACTTGCTCAAGTTTTACCATTGTAAATTTATCATTGATACTCCACCTGATGATTATAATGTATGGTAACCACGTATGGTGGTAAACGCGGTCCTTTTCCATCCACTGTTTTCAAATAAGAGATCTCCTTGATCCACACAAGAGTGAATAATGGCAGTCCCTGGCCGCAAAAAAAAACATGGTGTCGTTCAAAGACATTGTGGGTGTCAAACTCACCCAAAACAAAAGCAGATTACAAGGTGTCATCCAAGGACACCGTGGGTGTAAAACTCACCCAAAACAAAAAAAAACAAAAAAAAAATGAAATAAAAAACTAGTAAGTAGCCAGGCATGTCTCCTATGACATAGCTGAGATTCTCAACACGCAAGGGGTATAGACTCGCCCCTAGAAAGGGGACGAGGATACATCGCAGCTCGATCCCAACAAATGCGTAACCCTCAGGGTTGTATGGTCAGGATGCATCTGTGAAATATATCGGATAGCGGCCATGTTTCCCAAAAAACGTTGTGTGCCCCAGAGCAAGCCTAAGTCACTCAGGTGTTAGGTTCGCTCACTTAGTCCTATTTTTTGGGAATAAGTGATGCGCGCAATGTAGCGAAGGAGGAGGTGTCAACGACACCTTGTGCCTATCGTTGTCCTCAGTCACTCTATCTAAATGCACAATGCCTCAATTGAAAATTAGGCAGATACGGGGCGATAAATGCACCAAAGTTATACACTTGGTGTAGTATCACCGTATACTACTATAAGTGATCATGCAAACCGTGCCAAACGAGGCATGGTCGCAGTGTGATCTCATAAAATCAAAATATTAGTCAAATAAATAATTATGCGATAATACTAAACATTAACGAAAGGAAAATAAGACATGCATCATTATTATTTTATGAAATTCAAAACATGTTTAGCAATTCGGGTACTCGTAATTGAAAACATGACAGAATTAAAGTCTACACTACGTCCATCCGTCACTCCCATGCATGCTCTAAGGCACAGAAGCAGTCGAAGCTGGGTGATCTGTCTCGGAAGGAAGATCGCCAAGCTCCTCATCAGTGGGGAGTCTGTCAAAAGGAATATAGTCCAGGGGCGTGTTGGCTACCGGGATCTCAGGGTTGGGAACCTCAGGAGGAAGTCCCCAATCAGTGATGCAAGAGGTACCAGCCTTATCCCTCAAGATAGGATATATTTTCTGTTGAGTGGCATATATCCCGATCTGGTAGGAGATGTAGCTCTCTAAGGCCAGTTTCTCACGACCTTCCGGAGTAGACAACCAATCCTTGCTAATATCGTTCAAGTGGGCATTAATGTATGCTTCCTGATTAGACACGAACTCTGGAGAATTCTTGTATGCATCCACGGCCCGCCCCCTTGCATTGGCCAACTCCACGGCGTGCATTTCTTTAAGCGCAGTGACCTCGGCTGCATGTGAGTCACGCACGAGCTTGAGCGATGCCACCTCCTTCGCTAATTCGGTGAGTTGTAGCGACAAATCTTTCTCGCGCTCATCTTTCCTTCGGTTCACCTCGGAGATGGACAACAGTAGCTACAAAAAAGAAAAAAAAAATTAGTATCACGAGATGCATAAATAAAAGGTAACGGGGAAATGGGAGGGTTACCTCGGCCAGGCCATGGTGACTCCTCTTCTCTAAAGCAGCATGGTCAAGTGTTGAAATTTTCTCCTTCTCAGTCGCCGTGATCACCTGTGATAAGAGCGGAGGTAACTCAAGGTTACCTCGTAACCAAGTAGTCATCCCCGCCGTGGAAATATCACTCATGCTACAGGTGACGCGGGCTCCGGGGCTAGCGGCCCTGCGTTTTGCAATGGATGAAGGCACAGTTACAATGGCATCCTTGCCTTTTGTGACGGAGGGAACCCTTGGTTTCTTGTCAGAGCGCCCCTGGTCACTACCGCAAGGCCCATCCTGGTCGAAGCTTTGGAACACCTCCAACCGCGATGTCATATCTGCAAAAAAAAAGGGGGGGGGGGGGGTATGCATATGTGTTAGTTAATATATATATATATATATATATATATATATATATATATATATATATATATATATATATATATATATATATATATATATATATGCGTGTATTATCTCCTATAGACAAAGTAACTGTGGACAACCTTGATCCGTGGACGTGGATGCGTGTGCACCCGAACATGGTGACGGCGAATAGAGTCCAACCGTGGTTAGGCGGTCCTCGGAAGTAAAGGCAGAGAGGCTATACGGTCCTCCAGAAAGAATCATAGCCGGCCATGTCTCCTGGTCAACTGGAAGTTTCGGGTACGAATACTTCTTAAATCGACATTTTAAAGACGATGAAAAAGGTAACGGAGATCCAGACGACACATAGACAAATTCTTCTTTCCAATTGGCTTCGTTGCTACGAGTGACCTTCCACATGTCAAAGTGGTTGCGCTGAGAGATAGACACCCAGGACAGACTATCAGATGCCGAGCACTGCCCAGCTCGGAACATGTGCTTGAAGAGGTCTAGGGACGGTTCAATCCCAAGTGTCTCACACCGGACCAGGAAAGCTACCAGATACTGATGACCGAGCGGAGTCAAGTGACAAGGTGAAATTTCAAGATCATTTAAAAACTCGATAATCAAAGGATGTGTGGGAAAGCGGAATCCTAATTTTATGGAAAGAATATGCACCCCGAAAAAGTGACCTTTAGGAGGATCGGTTACAATATCCTCCGAATCGGGACATCGGACAGTCACTGTGGACGGAAAAAATTTCTTATACTTTTCAAACTTGGAAACTGAGAGGCGCGACCTGTAGTGTAAGATGGGGCTCGGGTCTAAGGGTGGATACGGACCACGGTAGCGACGTTTTGGTGGTTTGACTGAAGCGGCTCGTGGCTTTATAGGACTAATTTCTTCAACATCAGAATTCACATCCGCCCAGGGATGAGGAAAATTCTCCAGCACTAATTCATTGTCATCACTCAACAATTCATCAGAGTTTATGGAATCTAATATATCCATAAATGGTGGCAGCTATTCAAATAAAAATGAAAAGGATGTCACTACAATTGGCAACAAAGGAGCTACGAAGTACGAACTACGAAGTATGTTTCAAAGCCAAAATTAATACGGAGAAGCTTCAAAAGGGAAAAGTCAAAATAACAAATAAAAGGAAAGAGGGAGAATGCAGGGAGCGTACCTCTGTGCGTACCTTAGCAGCAACGGCGGAAAATCCAGGACAACGACAGAGGAACCCAGTGCAGAACAACGACGCCGCAGGAAGTAGACGACGACGGCGTAAAATTCCTTGATGTCACTGGAGTTCGCTGGTGTCTGACGACGGAGGACTGATGGCGGCGACCGGGATAGGGCGCAGCAGAAAAACGGACCGCAACCTGGGGCGGGGATAACCGACGACACTGCTGGTTCAGCTGCAAGATCTGGCGTCCGGCGCTACAGGGTCCACGCTGGTGAAGTTGAGGTGTTCGGTTTACTCGCGGCAGCCGTCGGAGGCAGAAAAGGATGGTAGCAGACGGGAACTCTGAGTGGGCTTGCTGGTGGCGCGGATGGACGCCGGCGAGCGGCGGACGGCGCTGGCCTGGTTGCCGGCGAGCTGCGACCTGGGCGGTACAAGAATGGCGGTGGCCGGTGGCTGACCCTCACCCAACCAAGCTGCCAGGAAGAAAGTAAAGTTGGGAATATAAATTTTGATTAAAAGATAAAATGTTAAATGATTGAACAAGTAAAAAGACAAAAATATTGGCATGGTAACCATGTACACTTCAGATTGACATGGCAACCATGTATCTACAATCCTTATCGCCAATATACTATTCGGCTATGGTGACCATGTACATTCAATATTGACACAGCAACCATGTCTCTGTACTCCCTATAGCCGATATACTATTCGGCTTAGGAAGTGGGGGCTTGTGATGGTATAATTATCCCAACCATGGATAAATATTGATCGGATTAACATGGATGAAAGTGAGTTAGAGGTTGATGTGCACGGTAACTATGTACGAATGATGATAAGGTATAAGAAGAGCTCGTACGTGGTGACCATGGGCGGGTTAGGAGATAAAAGACTGTACATGACGACTGTGGACAAGAGTTAGTAGAAGAATAGGGAGTACGAAGTAACCATGGATATCATGGTAAGCTTATCCAAAGAGCACGTCCATAGCAACCATGGACGCAAGTAGAAGACCAGAGTGCACTATAGCCTTGGATGCCATGGCGAGCTTATATAAAGAAATGTCCACAGTAACCCTGGACATAGTAGTAGAAGCTTATGTAAACAATCTATACATGGTGTCTCTGGACATCATGGCAAAAGCTACATGGCGACTCCGTACGACAAACTACATCAACGACGTCTTTTCAAGATATTCACACAATCAACAAAAGGATTCCGCGGATCCGGATTACTGATTTGCATATCAAATCGAACATGGCGACCACGTCGCCCAAATCTTTTATGTCTCATTTTCTACTATAAAATCATGTAATCCTTGGAATGTTGATCAAGCTCAATACACTGAATACACTACATACATTTATCTCTCTAAAGATTATCCTGAGCACTTTAATTATTTTCGGCTATCTCTTATTAATTATTTTCCGGTGGATTTACTTCCATCATAGACAATAGAATATCCTATTTCTAGAATATCCTATATCATGTATCATGTTGATAAAATGCAACATGTGAACTACTAAAACACAACGTCGACTTATTTTATAACTATGTACTTCTAATATAAGTTATGTAGATATTATGAGTGTGTAAAACACATCCTGTATTCTTAATATGCATATAACCTTAATATGCATATCACATAACCTCATTATGTGACAACAACAACATCCAAGCCTTAGTCCCAAAAGATATTGGGATCGACTAACATGAATCGATACATAATATCACCACCAAAAGGAAAAGAAAGAAAATAAAGATAAAAAGATAAGCTATTATGAAAAAGATAATATAAAATGAGATGAATATACCTAAAAATGATAAAATAAAAAGGATAAAAATAATGTTTATATATATAAGGATAAAAGGATTATAAGAATTAAAAAACAAGGAAAAAAATAAGGGGAAAAGATAATACGATATCACTCCTCCACACGAATACCCTCATCTAACCAAAGAAGAGGCATATCACTTTGGACTCCCCCAACCCACGCCTGTTTGGGCCTTCCTCACCCTCTTTTCCTTGCCTCTTCTCCACACATTTCAACTCGTCTGACAGGTGCACTGGTGCATCACTCGGTCTTCTATGCACATGACCGAACCACCGTAGGCGCGACTCCTGCATCTTGTCTTCAATAGGTGCTACTCCCACTCTTTGTGTGATTGTCTCATTCCTCACGTGGTCCTTCCTAGTATTGCTCACACATCCAACGCAGCATGCGCATCTCCGTCACACTCATCTTTTGAATGTGGCATTGTTTCACCGCCCAACACTCTACGTCATACAGTAATGCAGGCCTAATTACTGCCCTATAAAACTTGCCCTTTAGTCTAGTCGGCATACCTCTATCGCATAGAAATCCTGACGCACTCTTCCACTTCATCCACACTGTTTTGATTCTATGGGATACATCTCCATCTAACTCACTGTCCTTCTGAATTATGGAGCCCAAGTAACGGAACATATCGCTGACCGGTATCTCCTTACCATCTAGAGTAATTCCGCTATTACCACTACTTCTACCTCCACCAAACATGCACTCCATGTACTCTGTCTTGCTCCGACTTAGTCTGAAACCCTTGTCCTCCAAAGTTTCTCGCCATATTTCCAACTTTGTTTTAAGACCTGATTGCGTCTCATCAATCAATACAATATCGTCGGCAAACATCATGCACCACGGTATTTCGTCTTGAATTGACTTCGTAAGTTCATCCATGACTATGACAAATAAGAAAGGGCTGAGAGCCGATCCTTGGTGCACTCCGATAGTAATAGGGAACTCCGCAGTCCTCCCTACACTAGTACGGACACTTGTAGTACAATCCTCATACATATCCATGATGATGTTGATATACTTGCGTGATATGCCTTTTCTAGTTAAGGCCCACCAAATAACTTCCCGAGGTACCTGATCGGCTTAAACTTGCAAGTGTACAAGTGCCGATGTAGTAATAAAATCCGGTAAAAATACCGAGTCGAACACGAGGAAACGTTGTTTATATGATTCAAAAATTGAGAATATAATTTCTAAAAGACTTGGTAAAAGAGTAAAGATTTTTGGTTTTTCAAGTGATAATAAAAGCAACCAAGGGTTCGGGATTACTCCTAAACGACTCCTAGCGATTAATGTATATTCTTTCACCAATTCTTATGAGTGGAATGTCGCTAAAGTATTCTAACTCCTGTTACGGTAGCGAGATTGTGATTAATTCTACGTGTGAATCCCGTCACGGTTCACATTCATCTAAAATTAACCCCATTGAAGATTAGGACATTATTACAACCACCATATTCAATTGAGGTATATTTCTATCCACAATTAGAATATGTCTAGCCTTTAAGTGCACGGTTTATAACTCAACGTTAATTGCTCAAATAAACCCAACGATATAATCATACGTTGTACACCGTAGTCATACACATTAAAATATAAAGGAAAGATCATAATAATTTGGTTGAGAACATACATCAAACACCTAGAGTGCGTAAAGTTTCATCCCTAACCTTGGCTATGGAAAATTAGCTAGAGCAACTCATAATGAAATTACAAGTATTGAATTGATGAAATACAATGAAAT